GATTGATAAGTGCAATTTAATAATGCTAGGTCATGGAACGACAGCCTATGCATTGTGAAAGTGGGTGCAGAAGCAGCTAGATAAACTTAAAGGACAAATGAAATTGAATACAACAGTGAGCTGAAAGCTCACTTTTATTTATGGTCTTTCTTGAGGAAGAAGTGGCCATGGTTTGCTCTGAGCAAGGAGTACTAAAACGCAGCCATATTTTTCTTTTAAATCTGAAATATGGATAAGATGCAGCTTATTATTGCTACTGAAACCTACTCTGCTTTATTTTTAGAAATCTATAATAGCTGGAGCATTTGGATTTTTACAGGCTTTTTATGAGTTCTGTCTTTCACTCACTGGTTTAGTAGATTATTGCAAATGGATCTTTTAAATGTGCTGCACGACTCAAGGCACAAGTAGAGAATGAAGTTTTCTGAGTTCAGACCCTGCATTTCCTTACTCTGACTTCAAAGGTATTTGAAAGTAATATATTTATGTGGTTCCCTTCTACTTTCAAATTTTTTTAAAGGGTGAATGGTATTTATATCTTTATACTGGAAGCCACACTGGCATTATTTCAGAGTTGTTATTATGCCCTTGAACTATATCAAAGGCTTCCAATGAAAATCTGAGTTGCTACTGGGTGAGACCTCTCCCATAGGCAGGCAGAAACGGTGCAATGCTAATATGACCATTATTGTATTCTACAGGAGTAACTATTGTTGATATTATATCAAGCCTGTGGTTCACTCAGCTTCCTACGTAGTACCAAAGAAATTGGTGGAATGAATATATTGCAATGGGCTCTTAAAATCCAAGCTTTTATGCATATGGTTTATGCTTGGATAAAAGAATTTTGCAGCATACAGATAAAGGATGTGTGTGTGTGTGTCTGTATTATTATCTATAGTTTTATAGATGTTGAGGCATACGGATGTTCTGATACCTCTGAAAATACATCATTTTCAGTATACACAACACACCAGACATTTTGCATATCTGAGGAAATAGAGTAAAACAAAGGTGGAGAACTGTTGAGGTTTCAGGTGAAAAAGCAAAACCTCAGAAAATGTTGGAATGTCTGTATTTTGAAGAGTTTAATTGCTAAAAATGGAAGAGAAAGCCTCTGTGTGTGTGTCTCTGGACACTATTATCTCTGGACAATATTATTAATGTTATACTTAATAACACTAGTTTTATAGTCCCTGGGAGGTTGATTGCAATATGCAGCAGCCTTCTTGTACTTTATACACTGCACTGCTGGGGTCTTAATGGTTTCAGTGAGGTTTTGCAGTTTATATTCAGAAAGTTAAATAAAGTAAGGGAGCGGTTAGAGTTCCAATGTTGTAGCTACAACTTTCTGTCTTGAAACTGTTTGCCATAAGGGTCTTCTGTTGTGGTGGCTGTTGCCCCACAGCAAGACAAGTTACATACTTTTTTTTTTTTTTAAATAAAAGTTTAGAACTGGCAGACTATTGTGCAAGAAAAATATCTTCTTTTTTTTTTTTTTTGATATGGCTTTTAAAGTCTTTGGGGTAGGAACAGGAATTGGTGCAGACTAGGGGTAAAGAAAGAAGGAGGCTGAGCTGAGGCACTGGAATGAAATGTTCCCATGCAGCCTGCTGACTGTCCACTCAAATGGCATGGTGGCCTGTAACTTTGACTCGCGTTTGAGTGTCCATATTCATCACAAGGACATCAAAAGAAGTAATGGTGCTGTTGACCTGGATGCCTTTATGATGGAGGAGCCAGGGTGGTAGATACGAAATGAGCGTCACCACCAGCTCAAACACAAAGAAGTCAAGTGTCAGTGGTGATATCTGTGCTCAGGGGGGGTGGAAGATCTCCTCTGCTGGCAGCAAGGCCATGAGCACCTCTCTCCTGTGCTGGCCTGTGCAAGGGGCTAGGCACGCCTCCAGGGCAGGTTTTAACGCAGTGAGCTCCATCCCTGTGAATGCAGGTCATCGTGGACTAAGTAAGATTTATGCAGATATAAATACTATTTACGCAGAGGGATGATCGCAGTAAAACAGGCCTATTTATGACCTGCTCCATCTGCAGCGTCGTGCAGCACCTTGCATGGAAATGCAAGGCTCCCGTGCAGGGCGAGGGTTCACAGCCCGTGCGCAGAGCCAGGAAGGCTGCATGCGCGGTGACGGTGCCCCGCGTGCAAGGAACGGGGCTGTGCAAGGAATAAGGTCACTACGTCTATGCACAGAATGGTGCAACTGGCTCACAGACTCCCACTTTTCCCCATTTTCCCTAGCTGCATCCCTACTTTATGGTTATGGGAAAGATAATAAAGCTTCTGAGAGGGTGAATAAGCTATTCTTTTACCCTTGTGCTTTAAAAAACTGCTTGACTGATCTAAACCACGGCTTGGGGAAGGGGCAGAGAGAACAGTGCAATATAGTTTAAAGCTGCAGCAAGTTCATGTGATTGCGTCCAAGACACTGAGACTTGAGGAGCTTCGACAAAAAAGCTGAATGACCTTGAACTGTGGCAGCGCTGAGCAGTGTCATTCTCATATGGGGATGGATTTTATAAGGCTGAGACAGCTGTTGCAATGTCAAAGGGAGATTCGAATGTAACAATGTGCTGTGAAATAGTGAACAGAAAGAAAACTTGAAGCTTTGATAACTGGTTCCTATTCTTTTATATTTATTTATTGTCATCATTATGATTGCCATTATTATTACTACTGCTGTTATTTTTATTTCGGTATGTTTTGAAGTGCCTTGGTTTTGAAACAGTCTAGCTCTACCATGTTTTTATTTTGTTTGAGGTTTGTAATGACACATTTTATCACGAGTGATCACATCCATCAGATCTCAAGAAAAAAATGGCTGCTTCTTAGTTCAGAAGAATATGCAAACAGGAGCTTAATTACTTCACTTAATATTGACCAAGAGAAAGAATAAGACGAGCTTGCCAGCTCATTTCCAAAGCATGTTTTGTCCTTTAAGAGGGAAGGGTATGACAGAAAGTTAGGCAGTGCAAAGCAATTAGCATCATTCACATGTTATGGTGCGCTAGCATGGTGCTCTAGCAGCAAAATTCAAACATTCTTTGAATGGGTTAATAAAAGAAGAAATACAGTCTGCATGCAAGAAAAAGGTTTCCAAGAACAAGCCAAAATATGTCCCATTCTTCTAAATTTATCACAGCCATGTCACATTATCCTTGAGACTGCCAGGAATGTCAATTTTTTTGCAATTTAAAAAAAATATCTCATTTAGCACCATATGTTTGGTTAATGTGGCTGATATACCCTGCGTATTCTTTAGTCCATCCCTTTCTAATACTCCTTTTCATTTTTTCCCCCTTGCTAAGCCATATGTTACAACGCTGGTCACTCTATTGAAGCTCCTTTCAGGAGACGAAAGCGAAAGCAAGGGAGCTCGGGTTTAATCACCCAGAAAAATCTAAATCTGCTCCTACAGCTCACACTTGCAGGTAAGCAACCTCAGCGCTCCAGCTAGCACGCTGGGTGCCCAGGGCCCGTGAAAATCAGGCCACCTCTCTGACAGCATGCTGTATGTTAGCGGCTCTGAGGCACGAACTAAGATGGATGGCTAAATATGGAATTAGGTGTTTAATTGCTGGCACCCATGTTTGAGACTCTCGGCCAGTTTTAAAGGTCTTCTGTTTCATACCTAATGAGTTTTAACGCGTTTAGTGGTCCCCAGGCCTCAGCTTCCCCTCCTGTGTTGCTCAGGGATGCAGGAAATTAAAAAGTTAAAGCTGAAGCTTCCCCGGGCAGAGCGCAGGGCGGCTGCCGCTGCCGCGCACGGCTTTCCTCGGCACCGTTCCCCTGAGCTGACGAGTGCTGGGGACGCTGCACTGATTTTGGCACCTCGCGTGGCCCCAAGGAAGGGGTGCTGCCAACTCAGAAGGACACCTCTGAGCTCCAGCTCTCCTCTGCTTCCTCGCCGGTGCAGGGCAGCAACAAATTACAATATCCCTCAACCGCCTCAGCTGCGCTGGCCGGTGAAGAGGGACCGGAGCCAAGGATCCTCCCCGTTGCCTGCCTCCTTCTATCCATCTGCTCCGAGCAAGCAATAAACACCAACAGCCAGAATGCAACGTCTGGGCAACCCAGGTGGGGTTTAAAAGTGTTTCTTACTATTGTGTGGGTAGGCCTGTTGTCCAAATCACAGCCACACCTGGCCTTTTTAGGAAACAGATTTTGCCATTTGAGCCTGATTCTCCTCTGAACGTTATTTAGAGTGTAACAGGAGAAAATCAGACTTAGTCTATTTTCATCCTATGGCAGCTTTTAACTACAGAATAAATGGAAAAGCTAATCTCTAAATAAAAAGGAAAATAAAGGGATTTGGTAGCATAAAACACAGATGGAAGTCTGAGTTGGTGTGTTACTTTAACTTACTGTACTTGCATTCATGTGATAGCATAAATATATATATGCCAAACATATATAGTCTTAGCCTGTTCCCATTAACATGAATCAGAGCTTTTTCACTGGGCAGAGGGAGCCAGATCAAAGACCATGATGGTGCTAAATGGAACAAGATGTATATTCTCATATTTTTTTCCAAAAGGAAATATTAATTTGACATTGGTTTTCCAGTTGAAAAGAATTTTAATTGCAGTACACAATAAGCAGAAAATTCAGACAACAATAATCTTGAAACTGTTAGCAGCATTATATTTCTATCAAGGAATTTGTGTGCCTTTTCAACATTAGAGCTTTCTGAATTTTCATTAATTTGGGATTTCCCTAAACACACGAGTTATTTTGTTCATTCCACATCATGCATCACACCCTTCTGCTCAATGCATAATGCAAGCGTAAATGGGATCCTTGTCCTTGAGAGACTCTGGTTACTGGAGCCATTGTACGGATGTTGAAGTCCCGCAGTAAGACTTTCCAAAACTCTGCACTTCGCAAACCTCCAGCCCAAGTTTAATCAAGGAATTCACAGGAATACTTCACGTTCCTCATCTTCTAAGGGGCACTGGAGCACTGGGATGTTTTTAGTTCCTCTACCTCCTAATGCTTGCCAGTACTAGAAATGCACCACATAATAGTCCTCCTTGAGTACAGCTAAAGATCTTCAAATTTTCATGTATGAGGCTGATATTTATTTAAATGGACCAGAGAATGATGTGTGAAAATTGAATGCACAAAATCCTTCCCAGAGCAAACAAATATCTATTAAACTACATTCCATATGCCTATGCGCCTTACTGACAGTGGCACTGAAATTAGGATTAACTTCGATGAGGTGAATGGAGGCACAGCAGTGTAAGAGGAGAACAATTCCCTTTCTCTCCAGATCTGTATCTATGCCTATATATCCATCCCATTTCACTCTTTAATTGCTAGCATTTTTCTGACTGCACACATCTTAAACAATAACTCCAAATCAAGTTAGTCACATCGGTAGTCCAGCTAATACTCGTCTCCAAAGACGACTTTTGGATAATTACCCCAATATTCCCAGTAGCTCTCTGTCACTAGAATCTTGATGGAGATTTCATAACAAAAGCTAGGAATGAAATATGGTTTGGATCTTCATTCTCAAGGGACACTATAAAAAGGAATCAAGGAAGCTCAAATATTACCAGGTGGAGCATGACCATAACAACATGCAGAACAAATAGATGATGCAGAAAAACAAGTTGGCTGTTGAAGAAAAAACCTGATACATAAAAAGGATTTTCAAGGAATTTTTGCTCTTCTGTGGAAATTATTCCAGCAATATCACTGAAATCGGTATCAGCAGAAGTGCTTATTATCTGCTTCTTTTCTGGGGAAGTCCTAATTTTTCCTCTAAGTTTCTTGAAATTTGGATGGCTCCTGCGCTGTCAATCAGACTAACTCTGTTATACGTATTGCTGAGCAAACTTCATCTGTCATCAGCTGAGATATGACCACACTAACTGCTATCCATCAGTTTCTCTATTAGTTGTTCCAGGATACACAAAATACAACATAGGTGGAAATTCACTCATCTTAAGGAGGTGCTCTTTAGCTTCTACGTTTTGAATGTACTTGGGATGCATTCGCTCCCCTGGTCACATTCAGAGTCACCAGGATCAATGATTAACTACCTGCCAATGAGCGCCTCACTTCACAAAACAAAATGCAGCTTAATGAACAGTGATTTTACAGAAGTAAAATGAAAGCTCCCCATCTATCCACTTATGAAACTGCTGCATATGCATCACCAGCACACACAACCAGCTTCCTCAGAACTCGACATCTGAGAGATCATCAGGAAAACAGAGCTCATCTATCAGTCCCCATCAACATCATACCATAGGTGACTGCCAGATACTTAAGAAGCTATCCAAAAGCAATGTCACAACTCTTTTTTCAAGACACTACAAAAGAAATGTTCCAAATAAAATAAAGCAAATGCACGTACAAGTAAATGAGCCAAAGAACTTAATAAAAAGAGATTGATTAAAATGAGGACCAGAATGTTCAAAAAGGACTAAGAGAGAAAGGTGCCAAAGGCGCATTAAATGGATTCAATGGCTTTAGGTTTTAAACGCTTTTGGACTTTTCAGCAACTTTTAGCCAAAAACGATAATTCAAGTAAGAATCAGAATTATGATTCCACTTAAGATAAAGAGGGTTGAAACTTCTGCTTTGTAAATGAGCACCACTCCCTTTAGGAAGGAGAAGTATCAGCTTATACCAACAGAAAATCTTGTCTACAGAATTTTAAAACTGAGTGACACAATAAGCATCATTAGTTTAAAACCCTACCCCGCTAAAGTCTGCCTCTAATTTTCTGGTGCAGTGTTGCCATAGAATATGACATCTGTTTGTAGCTATGTGTACAGCATCATCCGGACTGGTTTAGCTCTGCTAAGTTTGCCTTCATTCCTTCTTTGCTGTCCCAGTGATTCTTTCAATCACTCATAAACTGGTACTCAACGTTTTACCAATTTCCTCATAATATAATTGCATGTGAATTTTTTATTTGAAAACTTTAATGAGAAGTGTAATATATAGCAAGATAACAGGTCAATTTTCTCTCTGATTTAATGTTAGTTTCAGTATCATTTTACATTGCACAAATATATAATCAGAATAAAAAATGTCTTTTAATGATGTCTTTAAGCATCTAGTCATTTAAAATTCATGATTACGTTTGTTTCTTTGCAAATGTTATTTGAGAAATTTTCAGAATCCTTGGCAGATTCAATATAGCAGCAGGGACAAACTGCAGCCATCCATAGGAGAATATACCTTTATGTGGGTGCTTTGGGGATGGAACATCTATAGCTGTAAGGCAAAAAATGCCATCATAAATTTGGATGGCATTTACAAAGCCCTCTAAAAAGTCTTTGCATATGATTATAGCTGAGGTATGATATTTTTGCAAGTAAAAGACCCAGAATAGATTTATGTTTCAACTATATCTTCCTGAGATGCATATGGATGCTAAATTGCAAGTGATACTAAAGGGAATTTTAGTAACTGAAGAAGAGGGAGTCAAATTTTCTATTTTTTAAAAATTTTCTCAAAAATCATTTACTCATTATCTGTATGCCATCAAAAGATCACTGGCTAGCTAGGCTATGTGTAACAGTGATGGCTACTAAATGCCAAAGCCATGAGATGGAGATGGGTAAATATGCAATTTTTTAGACCTGTGACCTCAGTTATTGCATGATCATGTTTTTATATGATTTTTAGGATGACAAGACTAAGTGTGGTGTTAATTTTGGCTTTGAAGACTTCAAAGGCTTTGGCTTTGAAGACTTCAGCCACTGAACGTATGTTTCAATTAATAAAAGAGCTGTAGACAGGATTGAAAATAGCTCAGGTAATTTAACATGTACTGTGAAGTCACATGATTTCTGCACAACTTGAGGTGAAGAGTTTATACATTATTCCAAAGAAAGAAAGAGTTGCAAACTGAACTCGTGCAGCGTAGCAAACCAAAATGGATTTATAATTTGACAGGTCAAGAGTGTACTCATGGAACTGTTATGTATTGCTATCCAGTAGTTCTTGGTATTTTTTACCGTATGACTACCTAGGCTTGACAGTCACAGGACTGAACAAGTCATCTCATTTCTACATAGCTGCTGTGCTCATTTACTGGGAAGTGTCCATTCCCAGTTGTACGCTGGAACGACACTGGGAATGCCACTGGGGCGCTGCTGGGGAAGACTTGGCAACTCCCAGCCAGCAAAAACATACACTGCCTTCTCGCAGATCACTTCTCAGGTATGCGATGTCAGATGGTGAGACCAGCCTCATTTTTCGACGTTCCCAATGGGCTTTAAGGTTCTGGGAGGAACAAAGAATCCCCCTGGAAAAACACAATGTTCCCCGTGCAGAGAAGGCAGAGCACAGCAGTTTGGCTTCAGCTTCCTTTCCGAAGGACATGCATAGGATGATACGGCCTTCAGGTCTGCTTTCGTGACCTGCCCAACACCTCTCTATCGAACAATTTAAAACATATGAGACAGGGGTAGAGGCCTCACAGGGAAAAAGTCTCCACAAGCTTCATGAAAACAGGCATGGGAAGAGCAGATACCATGTAAGCGCTCCCTCAAGTGCAGCTGCTATGGCAAAGTGCATAGCACGAGCTCTCCCCTTACTAGACACTAGAGAACCCACACAAGAGGGACACCTGGTACACCCCCCCCTCCACCCCAACCAACCCCAAATGTCTAGGCATCGAGAACAAGAGCATTGGCATTGTTTGAATAAGCACACCCACCATGTAGTGCTCCGCGGTGGTCGGGGTTTCTTAGATATCCTAATTGTGTAAAAGAAAGTAAAAGAAGAAAAAAGAAACAAGGTGAGAGAGAGCACTATCATATTTTGTAGCAAGCAGGATGATACTGTGTGAAATCTTGGCCCAGTGAAGTGATAAAGGGGAAGCTTGCAGTTTGCTTAAGGGAAAACTTATGTGCAAACGGTAAAATTACCAAAATATCACATTGCAGAAAATGGGTGCATTTAGGCTCAATTAAGCTGTAAAAACGAAAATGGCACTTTAGCTTACAAAAACGAAGGGAGAGAGGGAGCTATCAGAAGTAACTTTACAAGGTTTTTATGCATGAGGATGCTGCTTCACTGGACCAAGAAAGCTACAGTATGGGACAGGCTTTTTCTTTCATTAGACACTTTGCTAGATAGCTTTGCAGAACCTCAGAAACTGCTGCTCTGGCATTATGAAATATGCCTACATAACTTGATCTTATGATCTTAGGAACACAGAAAAATAGCCATGCCAAATCAGATTAAAAGGGTCCACCTAGCCCAGGATCCTGTCTCTGACAGTGGTTACTAATGGATGCCTCGAAAAGAGTAGAAGACCAGGGAAAGCATACAGCAATAATTCTCAGGAATACTCTCCCAGCCTCCAACGATTTGTGACTTCTACAACAAAGTTGATATTATGGTATTGAAGATACTCTTATTCAAATGTGCAGATTTACCCCCCGCTTTTGGATTTCTACCCCAATGAGATTTCCACTAGTCACATAAAAAGGTTTCATAGCTTGGTGCTGGCAAGTTCAACGTTCTTGCCACTAACTCTGCATGAGCCAACAGCTTTCAAGCCCAATGACGCTACGGGTATAAGAGCATCCAACACTTTTTCCTGTGTAAAGAAAGTGATATTTGTGCTGAGGTGCTCTAAGTGTATACACTTTGGGAAGTATTTTTTTTTTTAAGCAAGAGTCTGGCTGCAAATTGATATTAACATTTTTCAGTATATGTGTAAAACACATGTTTCAGAAGAATAGAAGAGAGAAACTGTCACTCACTGGGAAGCTTTAGAGCTATCTGGCTCCCTGGGAAACTGCATGCAACTATTCTGGTGTCCAAGGGTTTGACCAGTGAGTTTCCTCTTCCTGCAAAGAATGAATGCAGAAGTAATAGAGAGTCTGAGGGGGTAGTTTTTAGCAAATGGCTAAAGATACTCCTATTCTGCCCACTCCAGCAGGTAGGAAGCAGGTGGTGGTAGAAGAAAGAGGGGGGGAAACGAGAAACGCCTGCCTTCCCCTCCCAGCAGTTAGCACAGGGAAAGGCAGGGCACTAAACTGGGAGAGACCGGCATTGGTGTGGCTCAGCCCTCCGCAGTCCCTCCGCGACGCTGCGCTCCTTTGCAGCCGTGCCGGCAGGGCAGCGCAACAGCAGCGCTGTGACCCAGCGCCAGGACGTTCGGCTCCGATTGCCTGGGGTCCTGCTGCGGCTCCCCGGCGCTTGGTGAGCCAAACTCAGCACGCTGCGCATATCCTCGGTAACGTTGGTACGAGTTACGTATAAACACCCCACAGGCTTGGATAGCAAAAGCGACTTCTTAAACATCATGCTTATTTTACTCTTCACCTGTCAGGGGAGTTTTCTGAAGTTTTAATTCTCTAATTGAATCGGTACCTACATGACATTTTAAATTCACTTATAAAAGGAATCAGTAGAGCTAGGGGTCTATAAAAAAGCTTATCCTTTCATTTTTGATGGCTTATTGACTTTATAAGAGTCAAAAGGCACAACTGATGTATTAGGGAGCCCCTATAACTTTACTTAAAGCAAAAATCAGAAAGTGATCGAAAAGTTTTATAGAGGAGAGCAGAAATATAATTTTAAGCCTCTTAAAATTGCCTGAACTGTGAAATCAAGTAATGAACACTAGAAAAGGTTCTGTCAGCTGGAATCAAAGCTTAGACTAGTCAGCATTTTCTTCCCAAACCTTATTATGGCAAAGATTTTTCATCTCTGCACTCTGTTCATCCCAGCAAATAAACTGCCTTGACCTCCACCTGTTACTTGGTGAAGTCTGCTGTCATCTTTGACTAAACCCTATTCTTTCCCTTCAAAGCCCCCTGCCCCACTGAGAAGGTGGGAAGATCCAGCTGTGCGCTGATTCAAGTGGATACCAGTTCATAACCAGACAGCATTTCACAGTACACATTGCAAGCAACCGAGCAGGAAAAAAAATGTAGTGCCAATGAATTCTGGAAGGGGGCAACATTTTTCATCAATTTAACAATGAGGTTTTCATAGAAAGAAGTTCTTTTTGTGTGTGATGTTATGAACTAGCATTTAAGGCAAGAAACATTTTGCTTATGCCATAACAATGAACCTACTCTAACACCACGTATGAAGAACTGAAGACACACCATCCCGTTAGAACATAATGAAAGCTATTTGTGCTGCTTTGATATTGCATAAGCTGAATGCATTAACTATTTCAAAGCGGTGCAGCTCCAAACCTGTGTAGTTTTCTAGGCTTAGAAACAAGTCATAGCATAACATTGCTAAATAGAAAAAAATATATTATGGAACACAGAACAGCAAGATATGTCACGAGGAAAACTGTATAGCTATAGTAGTCATTCCTTCAAATATATCATCATGACAAAACCATGTAAGAAGCTTTCTAATACAAAGACATATCAGAAAAAGCCGTTGCATATAAAGTTGAACTTCTCTGGGTGATTAATGCTACGTTCAACAAAGGAGACAGTGTCTGTCTAATTACATTAAATACTTATCTTCTAGGGATTGGCAGGGTGTTTCTGCTCAATGTCACTTTTCATGACAATGTAATGATAGATCCGTTTACTTACCAGTGCCATTAGCAAAAATTGTACTGTTTTCTCAACTGCCCTCATATCACAAAAATATTTGATTAACACACTGTAGCTTATCTAATACTCTAAGCAACATATTCTGCATAGTTTTCTCTCTATTAAAAGAACAAGATTATAGCTTGTAAAATTTTTATTGCTCTCACGCAAAAATAAATGAATAATGTGCGATATACTTTGAGTATCTTTCCAGTTCACAAAACAGGTTTATATAATTTAAAATTTTAAATTAGAATAAGATCTGGGGGGAAACAAGCAGACATACAAGCAAAGTAGGCACTCTGGTGCACTAACTTCCCATCCAATCTTTTGTTATTATTTCCTTTTCATTTCAGCCCATCTTTTCAAACTTTCAATAACTTGGGGGGGGGGGGGGAAAGCTTTCATTCTTTTGCTGAAAAACAGATATGGCCATCTCCCAAGTCTTTAAAATTCACCGCATCGTGAACTGACTCTTCGTAGTCATGCTACTGTGCCAACACACAAAGAATAATGAACCTCTGGAAGAATGTACACAGCGAAGGCAGTTTATCTAGCACCAGGATAATTTCATAACCTATATTGAAAAGCGAGGCTGTGATGTAACATTCTAGCAGTATATATCAGCTACCTGATATTTACTAACAAGGTTAAGCTACTCTCTGTTTGGCTCAGCACTCTTCGTAATTCACTTTTTAATGGATGGACAGGAAAAGTCAGCAACGTATGGCACAGATCATTTAAGAAATAGGACAAGACAGCTTACGACAGTACCTATTTCAAAACATGCTCCATCCCTCCATATGATCGCATCAAAAGTCTATACTTAGCAACTACAGTGCTTCAAATCTACTCATAAATCCTTTGAGGGGTAGATTTCTATTTATAAGTAAAACAGTAAATTTGGAAAAAAAAAAAAAAAAAGAAAGACCTGAGGAAGAGGTGTCACTGTCAAACAGTACCGTGTGGCTCCGGAGATCATCTCGGTATTTTATGGTTAGGTAGAAGGAGGAACATGGGAAGCTTAGTTCAGTGAGGAGTTAGGACAGCCACGCCATTTTGTTACAGCTCCTTACGGTGTTATAAAATGGCAGAAAGTAAGCACCCAAACTGCCTGGTATTAGGCATAGCAATATAGCAGTGAAGAATTAACCAGCACCATCTTAAAATCCCTCGCAAGTGACTCTTGCAGCGAGTGGATGACACGGCAGCCAAGTGCCACATGTGACTCTCCAAATTAATAATGGATTTAGGATATTCATTGCCTGAGCTGCGAGGATTTGGGGTGTGTCTGCAATTATCTAGATCTAAGTCTGACACACATTATCCTTCTATCAATGTCATTTCCCTTAGTCGCCAACAGATTATCAGCAGCTTTGTGCTATTCCAGGTGTCAAAGAAGAATTAAACCCACAACAATCGCCCAAACAAAGGGACAAAAGACGGGCTACGTGTTTCTGAGCCCTGCATATCAATTTAATATGTGCAGCTGACAATGATGCAAATGTCCTCGGGAGAGAGGCGGCGAGAGCGGTGCCCAAGCATACGCGCGCCACCGTCAGCAAGATGGCAGGGAAGAGAGGCGGGAGGATCCCCAGCCCAGGACGCACGCCTCGGCCGGCAGAGCGACCCGCGCAAACGCGCCGCTGCCTGGGGAGGATTTTGGAAGCACCTGATATGGAAAAGGGCCCTAAACAAGCCAGATGGTACTTTTAGCTGGCAGCGGAAAGTAGGAGACAGCCAAAAACATTACAGCATTTCCCCAAGAGGCCAGCAAATCGATTTTTAGCCATCTCTCTCTCTTTTCTTTTTTTTTTTAAAGCGACGCGATGAATGTAAAAACATAACGTTTCTGCCCATTTTTAAGTCGGTAATTTTATGAATAATACGCTTAAGAAGGCAACAACTGGAAGGGATGAGAAAGCAAGGCATTTTGGCTTTCCCAGGGCGCTGGTATATTTGACATCAGGTTCTATTCAGTCGCTGCCACTGTTTACTCTGAATTAAGTGCCAGTTTTTGTTCAGGGTTTTCCACATAACATTAAAGAAAAAAAAATCCTGTAAAAGTAGAGAAATAGCAATGCAAAATCACAATAGCACCACAGTTGTCAGGACATGGGGGGAATGCTGTTTGTAAGACTGCTTTGCCTTCTTCCCCCCTACCCCCAATTACGGGCTTTCTAGATGATTATTTTTTAACAGAGGCCAAATAATTTATTTAATACTCTTAAGTTCCCATTTGGCTAAGGACTTGCATAAGGAATTCAGCTGTTTTGGGATCTTTTTAATTTTTAAATTCTCCAAATGCCAGGGTTTGCAGTTCTGCCTGGATTACGGGACTCTCTTCAGGAATCAGGCTGATGTCAGATGCTGAACCTTTACTTTCTTGGAGTTGCTCGGTGAGTTTAGATCAGGTGTGGCCAAGTTGTGTTCACTCCAGGAATGAAAAAGGGATGTAAAGAGTAGGGAATGAAAGGGGAGAGAGAGACAGAGAAGTCGTGGAGCACGGGGAAATGAGCACCACCCCTCGCTTCCAACATGCACCGTACTCCGAGGACTGGCCAAGCTCAAAGGAAGAGTCAGGATGATGTCTTCCTTTTGTTTGCTGGTATTTCAGCTAACAGTGAAGGCAAGCGCAAATATAGGGTTAAATCTGGACTACATCCAAAGTGCTTTCTCCTGTCCAGAGCAAGGTAGTGCACTAATGTACTACATCACAGATGTAACTGCTAGAGACAAATGTGGGATGCTGTAATAAAATGGGACGTGACGCTAAGCACAGAGGAAGATAATCCATACATTTGTATTTTTCAAATCTCATTGATTGTAAATCCTTACTTTTCAAATAAAATGTATTTCCCTCCTATTTGTGAAACAGAAGACTTTGCCCTTGGCCCTTGCTCATATAAAACTGTGTCACTCTTTGCAAGAGCACTGTTCTTTGACATAAGGCCTGCAGGTACCATCTCATTTTGCTGGCTTTTGGGGGTTCGCAGTCCTTCATGCAAACCCCAGTGGAGCCAGGGAAGACTGTGCACAAACAGCAAAACAGAGCTTATAATTTTCCAGCTAATTTTAGCAACAGGATCTCCTATTTGGTGAATATCACACTAAAAATAGCAGCAGCCCGTTGATGCAAGGGAACAGCAGAAGAAACGATCTCGCTAGGGCTGCTGGCCGTGCGCGGGCAAGCAGAGGTGCAGGACGCCGCGGACACCTTCTGAAGTTAGAATAAAACTGGAGCCAGCGCACTATGTGAAGACCGTAAGTCTTCACGGAAG